ACTCAGGCCCAGGATCACGCCTGGGGGTGGGGAGGAGGACTCAGGCCCAGGATCACGCCTGGGGGTGGGGAGGAGGACTCAGGCCCAGGATCACGCCTGGGGATTGGGAGGAGGACTCAGGCCCAGGATCACGCCTGGGGATTGGGAGGAGGACTCAGGCCCAGGATCACGCCTGGGGATGGGGAGGACTCAGGCCCAGGATCACACCGTGGACCATTGGGAGGCCCTGGCCCGGGCTGCAGCCACGCCCGGCCCTGCTGCGACTGCCCCCAAAGAGCCACGGCAGCGCTGGGGCTGCAGGCAGGACTGCGCACCGTGCACGCGCAGCCCCAAGCCCGGGCCTCGGCCCCCTGCCCCGTGAGGCCCTCCTCGCGCAGTGCGCGTCCACGCAAGCCCCCTGTGTACCTGCTCTGACCCCGCGGTACTGAGGGGTGGCAAACATGTCCCACTGGGAGACGATGATGGCGGCGATGCCCAGCACGCAGATGACTATCAGGTAGATGAAGCAGGGCTGCGGGCTGCAGTAGAAGGAGTAGTAGAGCCACGGCACGAAGCTCCCCATGATCAGGAGGGCGATGCCCGAGTAGTCCAGTCTAGGGGGAGAGGAGGAAAGGCCGTGCGCCACACAGAGCCAGCTCCCAGCGGACGCCCCGGCCCGCGCCGCCCACACCGGGCACAGGCACGCGGCCGCTGGCTCCGGCCGAGGAAAAGTGCTGCCACTTGATGACACCAAGAATTCCAAGCCCAGCCGGCCACGGGCGGCTCACACCCGCCACCCCGGCTACTCAGGAAGCTGAGATCTGAGGATCATGGTTCAAAGCCAGGCTGGACAGAAAAGGCCGTGAAACGCTTCAATCAACCACCAGAAAACCGGAAGCGCAACTGCGGCTCAGGTGGTGGAGCGGCCGCCTTGCGCTGAAGAGCTGAGGGACAGCGCCCAGGCCCACAGTTCAAGTCCACAACGGACCAAAAGAAAAAAAGATCCCAAGTGTGTAATCCTAGCTACTCGGAAGAGGAGACCAGGAGGACTGTGGTTCCAGCGCGGCCCAGGCGGAGTTAGAGCAAGTTCCTATCTGAAAAAACCTCAGTAAGACAAAAGCAGGCGCGGGGCCGCGCGGCGCGGTACTCACTTGGAGAAGAGCCGGGAGACCCCTTCCGAGTGGCAGTAGACGGTGTGGAAGAGCCACGAGAAGGAGAGGCAGAGGATGGCGCCCAGGAAGAACAGCCCGAAGACCACCTTCTCTTGCAGGGGGGCCACGAAGGAGATGTTGGGGCGGAACATGTGGAAGATGCCCAGGCACAGGAAGAACACGCAGCCTGGGG